TGTGCTTGGAGTTTGGAGAAGGTTGGATTGTGTCATACATTCTTCCAGTGCCAGGGATCAGCCAGTGAGCAGCTTTCTCCACGCAGTTCTCTACAGCTGGCTTGGTATCGAGTGAACAAGGTATAGTTTTGGCTGGATCGAGTCGGCCCTGTCCTGTGGCTACCATCACTGGCTGTCACCTTGTATCTGCAGAACCACTGCTGCAACTCTGCCTCATTGTCTCTGGTTCTCTCATCTTCTTCCTTAGATACTTGGAGTACCTAGCTCTGAAGACCTTGAGGCTTGCATATCTGAGATCTCATGCCATGGAGTAGTGCTTGCCATTGGAGGACAAGAGGCCATGTTTCAATGCATGGAGGACTTCTCATAGTATCTGGTAGTATCATAGAGGCAGTCCAGAGGTCTCCCATTGCTTGAAAGTAATCAATGTGACCCTTCTCAAAGTTGACAGAATCCTTTCTCATAATGGAACAGGCCAAGTCTTCCCTCGATACCTGAAAGAGAGCTCCCAATAGTCATCCTTGTGGGCCAGTTGTCGCTGTACATGGCAGCTGGATTGAAGTTGCTCTCCTTGCTAGCTGCATGGCGCATGGGAGAAGTGGATGGTCTTGGTGGTGGGAACAGAACTGCAGACGCAATCTCTCCAGTTCAGTAGCAGCATCCCAAACAGCAGCAGCACCAAGACTCCTTGCTGTATTTTTGATCACCTGGAAGGTTGTGTCTTGGCAGAAGATTCCTTTGTTGCATTTGACACTTGGATCTCTCTTGTGTGCCTTTGGTTGTCACTGATCCTCCATGGATTCCTGTTTGAAGCACAAGCAGCATCAAGATGTCACGGATGGTGTCACCAAGAGAGGAAACTGTCTGATGTAAGTGCCATCCTTTTGAAGAAAGGGATCAGGATCAGTGCGCTTCCTTGCCAGTATGAGAAGTATGACATCATGGCTCTAAGATACTCTCTGTTGATTGCATTGTAGATGAGGCGGCTGCATAGGTCTCCATTTCCATAGGTTAACATGATAGAATCGAATCTTCTGTTGCTGTTCGCTCCAAGTGACAAGCTTGTTAGGTAGAGCATAGTTGGACTCCACTGGATAGACAATGAAGCATGGTCTGGGATCGAGACCAGCACTTCTGCAGAGTTGGCATGAATCTTCTGTTGCAGCTTCACAAACCATGGACATGATATACACCAAGAAGGAGGCCAGTGATGCCAAAGATGGGAAAAGGTCTTGTTGTGTGACCAGTTTGTCCTTGTATTCTTGAGTTTGCCAGAGCATCTTCCATCGGGACAAGACTGTAATTCCACATCGATTCCAGTCCACAAGAGAGTTTCTGCCAAAAATGGAGTGGTAGTGAGGAGACTCGAATTGCTCCTCTGTGGAGGGAACTGTCATGGTGAGTCCTTGAAGTGTTTGTGGAAGAGTTCTGGATTCTTTGCCCTGGTAATGGATTCTGACACTGCTTCTGCCATTGCTAGCATTGCCAGTGGTGCTCCTTTCTTCTTGTGCTTTCCACAAAGGCAGTATCATTAACAAGAGTGGTTACCTTTTCACAAAGAGCTACTGGAGTGGCCATTGCTGCCTTTTGTTGCTGTTGCCGGCTCTGCTTTGGTTTGGCTGTGTTGGTTCTAGCAGCAAAGAATGCTTCTCCATTTCTCTTGTTGGATGCTCCAGCTTCCTCTCTCATTCAGTGGTAGAGGAGCACTGAATTGTTGTGAGTCTTCTGCTTTCTTTGATTGTCTCCATGTCAGCGCATTCAAAGGTCCTTGTCCTTTTGTTATTGTATTCTAATACAGAAGACAGAGTGTGATCTCTTGGGGACTCTGAGACAAGATGTCTGGCCTTACAGATGACACAGTTCTTGAGTGGATCAAAGACTTCTGCTACCACTCCTCCCAGTGTCGTTTGCGGTCCTTCTTCTCTGGCTTCTTGGATCTGTTGTTGTTGTTGAGCGTGATATGCTCTCTTCTTTTGCGAGTTCCTCTGTTGATTGGCAGCCATTCTCCATTGTGAGTGGTAGCTGCTGTTGTTGCTGCTGCTGCTGTTGCTGTTGCTGTGCTGCTGCTGTTCCGGTCATGATGGTGCTTTTGGCTGAGATAATGACTCGAGTGGCTCTCCGGTGGTTGGTTGAGTGAGCGGCAGGATGTCATTGTCATCTCGAGGAGGAATCCTTCTTTCGCGAAAACAGAAACACGAAATTTCGAACTTTATAGCACACTGTATCCGTAATAACTATAAATGGTACGTTAATTGATTTAAATCTTATTCCATAAATATTGCTGACATATACATGTTCTTCAGAACTCGTTAGCCAATCAGATCACTGCCTTCCACCCCTTTCGCCCTCTGAGACGCTTTCCTCTGCAAGGAAATAGGTGTGGTCCCGGTAAAGTTGGAATTAAGTCACTCATACTCCTCCGTGGAGCTTTCCTAGAAACTTACTAAAAACCAAATTTGGATCCAAGATCCAAGGCTCTCAAAATCTTTGGCTTGTATCGACGATCGACGCTCTTGCTTCCCACGTCGTCACTTTGTTTTTCACACAAATAGAACTTGCTCATTCCTGAAACAAAACACAAAATCTTTCTCGTTCGTCTCGTCAGACCAAGACCATGATGAACAATGGGATTATAAAGGAGCTAGTATCCTCCCCTTCATTCGACGGGAGTAACTCGAGCGGTGCTACTGGTACCAGTGCTGGTAGCAGCTTGAGCTCCTTCAATGCTGACTCCAAGAAAGGCAAGAGTGTCGGCGGCCAAGGTTTGTTGCTGAAGTTCCCTTTTTTCGCTTGTCTTGTGACCGCCATGGCTGTTCTCCTGTTGGTTCGCAGCGCTAATCGTCAGGGATTCAAGCGTGACTTTGGAGCGACTTCTAAAAAGATTGTGGATGCCTTCTTCTACGAGAGCCACCAAAAGGCATATGCCGTCCATGATGCCAGTGTCACTGCATCCATGATCGCGATGCAGAAACCAACCAAGTGGAAACGGAAGAACCCCGGAGAGTTGACTCGCAAGGGAGAGATGGCTCCTAACGATGAGGCCCTTTCCATTTTTCAAGACCGAACCAATGACATGCAGCTGCTGGGACAAATCGACGCCATGATGTGGTATCCTGCTGCAGCTGAAACCCATCATGTTTCAATGACCTGCGAGACGGAACGTGCCTGCAAAGGATCTGGGGGCAAAGTTCGTGGACAAGCGATCGAAATTGTCCAAGAAAGCAAGGCGCCAGTGACATCGGAGGCATTTCGACGCTCGGAAGAACCACCTGAGAATGTCAGGACAGCCATCTTTTACCCCATCCGTCCCGTGCACCTCAAAGATATCCTTGTGCAAGAAGACATTATTGGAGTCATTGCTGCCGACTTCAGATGGACCGAGTTCTTCAGCCCCGCCACTTTCGATGAGGAAACGGAGGGTTTGGTAATCGTTGTCGAAAACACCTGTGGCCAAGTAAGTAATATACATCGATCAGTGCGGTTTGGGTCAGATTGCAATGTGTATACCAAATCCTGAGCAATGTCACCTCCTCTGCGCTTTGCAGGCGTTCTCCTATCGTGTGCACGGTCAAGAGCTAACTTATGTTGGCAAAGGATACATCCATGACAACGAGTACAGCGACATGACGGTTTTCTCTGACTACATTGACTTTGTCAAGCCTGGACTCACCAAGACAGGGGCCTGTGGCTGCGATTACCGCATTCGCATCTACCCGTCCAAGGACATGTTTGCGCAGTACTCATCTTCATGGCCAAGATTGATCATTATGGGGACTTCGTTGGCTATGCTGACGCTGCTCCTGTCATTCCTCGCCTATGATATCTACGTTAGTAGAGAGTTCTCCCACCTTTCAGACGACATGGTGCGCTTCAACACCATTGTGGGATCTCTGTTTCCTGAGGTGGTGCTGGATAGGGTTGTGCAGGAAGACCTCGGGCGCATGGAGAAGAGCAAGAAGATCGGATACAAACCAATTGAAACAGACGGGGCTGCTGTAACCTATGATGAAGACGACTTCGTCCATTCCAACCGCTTCCTAGCTGACTACAAATTGCCAGTGGATAAGTTCGGATCTGTGACGGAGAAGCCGATCTATAACTCGTTTCCGCACACCACGATTTCATTCCTTGATGTCGCTGGCTTTACTTCCTGTAAGCTCTTGGTTTGAGAATGAAGGCAACTTCTGTTGCTTCCTCAGCTTCTGACTTTCTACTTGTCTCTTTCTGTCTTTGCTCTTTTTTAAAAATCAATCATCAGGGAGCTCCGAGCGTGACCCCGAACAGGTGAGCTCCTCAACAAATATTTCGCCAGCTCGTACCTCCAAAGCCTCTCCCTCATCATGGGTCATCTTTTTTCTTTGCTCTGAAGGTGTTTATGCTTCTGGAGAGTGTCTACCAGAAATTTGATTCCATTGGAAGGCGTTTGAAAGTCTTTAAGAGTAAGTGGACTGCGCCTCTCTGATTACCAAACGCTGCATTGAAGCATTGCGACTAACGGATCATTCTTGTATGCTTGTTTTCTAATCAGTTGAGACAATTGGGTGAGGATGGACATGTCCACTTCTGGCGCTTTTCAGATCCTTAGTGTGATCTTCAGTGTCTCACATTGCTCATTCTTTGATTCCTAGGGACTGTTATGTGGCTGTTACTGGTGAGTTTCGAGAATCGCTTTGTCACGACCATTGCACTGCATGCCACTCACATATCGTGTTTCCCTGCACCTCCCAGGCGTGCCAGAGCCTCAGAAAAACCATTGCCTTTTGATGTGTCGCTTTGCGTACGAAGCCATGCTTTCGTTCGTGCACCTGTGCAAGTCGCTGGAAGTGTCTCTCGGCCCAGGCACCGCTGATCTAGGCCTTCGAGTGGGCATTCGTAAGTACCAACACTGGCAGGTACATCAATTGCTCCGTCGACGCTTTTTCTGACACTGCCCGCCTTTTGTTGCAGACTCTGGATCGGTCATTGCCGGTGTATTGAGGGCGGAGAAGGTTCGGTTTCAGGTAGGAAGAGGAACTTTGTATTGCACTCGTGTCCAAGCCAATACTGCAACACAATCAGCTCACATATCGCCTTGTTCTGGAATGAGTTAGCTATTCGGAGATAGTAAGTCAGGAGCCCTGGAAGTGAAGTGTTTTTGATCGGGGCACTCAACATGAGTATTTGTGTTGCTCTCCATATCTAGCCATGAACACAGCAAGCCGAATGGAATCGACAGGAGAACCCGGAAAAGTGCAAATTAGCAAGGAATCGGCTGTATTGCTGCAGGCTTCCGGCAAGGGAAACTGGCTAGAGCCTAGAGCCGGTAGGTTTGCGCAATCGGTCTGTGGGTTTTGAGGCTGGATGCCTCGTTGTCTGACAGTCTTCCTCCTGTCTTTTGTTGCTGTCTCGTTTTCGATGGGCAGACCCTGTTTCGGTCAAGGGAAAGGTAAGACCGTGTCTTTTTATTCGTCCTTCTACTTTCCTTGGCCAATCTCGCTCACTCCTGCTAATTCCCAACCTTTATTAGGGCCACATGAAAACTTATTGGCTAAAGATTTCTTCTACGACAACCAAGTTGACCAAATCTACCATCGAGTCTGGGCTTTGGGGCGAGGACGTGAACGTGGAAGACTCGACATCCCCCGAGGAAAACCTGGTCACAAAACGCGAGCGGCTCATTGAGTGGAACACCGAAGTTTTGCTTGACCTCCTGCGAAAGGTTGTCTCCAGACGTCGGGCCATTGAAAGGCGCAACAGGAGGATCAAGATGCCTGCAACAAAGAGCATCCAAGACAGCAACCGACACGAATACCAACGGTTCCTTGCGTCACGAAACCTGGTGGAGCACGCATCTGAGGTCATCCCTTTTGCTTCGTACGAAGAAGATCTTGTCATTGAGGATCCAAGCGAGATCAGACTTGGGCCAGAAGTGGAGGCTCAAGCTCGGGCTTACGTCGCCGAGGTTTCTTCCCTCTACAACCCTGTTCCATTGTAAGTGGGCGGACCTTCGTGGCACTCGTTCGTGATTGGCTGCTCGTCATGCTCTGACCGTAGCCGTTGCTCCTTCCGCTTGTGATTTGTCAGTCACAACTTTGAACATGCCAGCCGTAAGTACCACTATCATCTACTAGCTAGATGATTTCCCTTGACCATGCTCACCACCTGGGCCTTTCGCGTCGTGCAGATGTTGTCATGTCGGCCAAGAAGCTTCTTGGTCGAGTTGTCTCCCCTCAACAGGGAGGTTTCAAGCAGGTCGAAGGTCTATCGTGCAGAGAGACCTGTGACAAGAGTTTTGGAATCAGTGTTGACCCATTGATGCACTTCGCTCTAGCACAGTCGGCTATGATCCACGATGTTGCCCACTACGGTGTATCCAACAAGCAGCTAGTGAAGAACAACAAGGAAATGGCTGCCAGGTACGTCGCTTCGCTTGTCTTGCTTGGTTGTATTCTCGCTTCCATTCTCACCGCCACCCCGTTAGATATAACTCGCAATCAGTCGCAGAGCAACACTCCTTGCTACTTTCGATGCACGCTTTTTCGGACGACAAGTATGATGCCCTTCGCGAGGCCTTGCTGTCAGACGACCCAGAAGAAACTAAGCGTTACTACCAATTCCTGGTTGCATCTGTTTTGGCAACTGATATCGCCGATCCGAAGCTTAAGGCAGCCCGTCAAGCACGATGGGATGAAGCCTTTCAGAACGAGGATGCCGCCATGGACAAGGAACGTCTCCAAATTGACTCATTCTATTTGGGAGAGCTGAACCGTGTGGATTTGCACTTTCGCCTTTTGGCGCTACTCTCTGCTGTCGTGTGGGCTGGCCTTGTCTACATCTCGTACTGGGCGACACCCGAAGAGCACATTGAATCATTGGTGGGCATAGAACAGAAAGCCGCAGGAACGGCCTTCGGTATCCTCGTGTGCGGATTTCTCTATAAAGTGAGCCCGCAATTTCTCAAGCTCTTCGAGTACGATGGAGAACCACTGAGTGGAGTTGTCATAGGTGTCATTACAATCGAGGTGATAGCAATGATCACGGATGGTCTTATGGCATTTGGCTTCCCTACTCCGGTCATGATTGACCCGATTTTGGGAACGAGAGGTGAGTTTTCGGTGTCATTGCGAGATCTTCTGTCCGAGCGCCCCGAACATCGCTAAAAACCTGATTGCTACTGTGATTCGTTGCAGTTCATCTTCTCCGGTGGTGCGAGTGGACACCGTTGGCCTTCTACATTTACTTTATCACTGATGGCGTTGATGTCCCCGACCCGGCTGTGGGTCTCAAATCGAGGTACTTCTTTGCTGGTTGCCAGGGATTGTCAACGTTCGCAGGATTCCTTTTCGCGTTTGCTCCCAACGGGATTGTTTGGGGCGTCCTGCTCTTCTTCTCGTGTGTGCTCTTCCTGTTTCTGTATGTACACTTGGCCTACAAACGCAAAGTGCATGCTCGTTTGCGACGAGGGGACAGCTTGGACGATCGAGAGATCTACGACCGATCCTATCACTCCCTGCGGTTTTTGGAGGACGTTGGTGTGACCTGGGGTATTCTTGTCTTCATGTACTTCTTGGAGGGTTTTGGACCCATGATCACACCGCTGTTTGACTTTACTCGAGCAGAAGGCTTTGGAATGATTTGGACTAGTGTTTTTGACTGCATTTCAAAGATGCACTACAGTAAGTGCCTGCGGTCACAAGATCTACGCTTGTCTGTGCCCTTCGCGACCATGGCCCCACACTTACTTCGTCTTTCGCCTTTCATCGCCAGTGAATCATATCATGAGTATCAACGAGCTTGTGTTTGATACCCAAGCAAGAGAGAAGCGACAGAAGGAAGAAAGCGTTCGACTAAAGGATGAATCAAACAAGAAAGCAACGGTCCTCTTTGAGTAGTAAGTTTCGTGTGGCATACGCTGTGGTCGTGGCGGAGAAAGCAAACAGTGATGCTCATACCCTCCTCTCTTGCGCCTTTCCAGCATCATTCAAGCGTCGGGTAAGTGGAAGGCATTCGCTTGTCGCGCAGAATGTCGTCCTGATGGTTTAAATGCCGCTAACATCCCTGTTTTCCTGCTACTTATCCCAGATGTGGCTCATTGCATGCAACACTGGAACATTTACCAAAAGTGGAACCGATGCTTGTTCGAGGAGATGTTGAAAGCGTATTTGAAGGGAGACAGCGATGAGGATCCCCGACCTGGCTGGTACGACGGCGAGCTCTGGTTTTTCGACAACTACATCAGTAAGTTTTTCCAGCCCAAAGTGCAAACGAAAACCTCGTCTATGTTACGAAGACTAACTTTGACCTACACCCGCTACAGTTCCATTGGCTTCGAAGCTGACTGATTCAGGCTGTTTTGGTTACTCGGGCTGCGAGTATCTCCGTTGCGCTACAGAAAACCGTAACGAATGGAAGGTGAAGGGGAAAGAAGTCACCGCTCGCATGATTGACGAGATCGAGACCGAACTGGCAGGTTACGGAAAGAATGTCAAAAAGGGCAAGAAGGAGCTCGTATCAATGGATCGGAGTGGGGATACGCATAGCATGTCGGATATGAGCGACAGCGCTGGCGACGATAATGGAAAGGGAGGAGGAGGAACACCCTTGTCCGCATTTTTCTGCGCCCCCAGCCGCAAACGATCGGGATCCGGGAGGAAGCTCCTGATGTGAGTGTTACATTGTATAGTTTAGTCCATGTACATGTGCCTGCGAGAAATAAACGAGTGCAGGCACTTTTATAAAAAGATCATCCATGTAGGGAAGTTCCGTACCGACATCGCTATTCGATTTATTTGTACCGCTACCAGTACTAGTACGGCACTAGGCTTGTTGCGACGAGGTTGATCCCTCTGGCAAGCAAGATAGCACGCCATTTCTGTGTTGCTTCACATCCGGTTATCAGAAATTGCCCTCCCCCAAGCAATCAATCTTCTCTGCCTTCCACTGGATTCTGCCAATATCAGGCTACACCTGGGCACGAGACCAAGCAGCACCCACAAATCTGACACCACATCATGCTCCTTGCAGCCAAGGATATTTTGCATCACTGGGACCAACCCATCTCCTGCTCGATGCTGACAAGCAGCGTGGTACTGTACCTGGTACGGGACGGCGCCTCAGAAAAGGACTTGACCCCAAAGCAAGGAAATAAACAGCTTTGCTGTATCTAATCGATTTCTCCACGTGTAACACCCCGATCCCTGACTTCAACAAACTGATGGGCCACCACGCTGTGACGTGTTGTGCAAGTGCTCGGCACAGGACTTCAGCAAGAACGACAAGCCGACTTCAACATCGGGTCTCAGCTAACTCTCGCATTGGCACATTGCATGTTCCGCAATTTTGCTGTCCCTCCAAGTTTCCTTCATAGCCACAACACAACCAAAGCAATCAGCAACCATGAAGTTCTCTAGCGCAGTCCTCCTTCTATCACTCGCCGGTGTCGGGGCGTTTTCTCCCAACGCCGGTGTTTCACAGCAACAGCCATCACACCTGTTCAGTGCTGTGGCCGATGAGAAAGCGTCTTCCAGCAGCAGTGACAAAAAGACTCAGGATCCTCTCTTGATCCGTGCCGCCAAGGGCGAAAAAACCGAGCGAGCTCCAGTTTGGATGATGCGACAGGCTGGTCGTCACATGAAGATTTACAGAGATCTTTGCAAGACACATACCACCTTTCGTCAACGCTCTGAAATTCCCGAAGTGGCCGTCGAAATTTCTCTGCAGCCGTATGAGGCCTACAAGACAGATGGATGCATTTTGTTTTCCGACATTTTGACTCCCTTTCCTGGAATGGGAATGGACTTTACCATTGACGAAAAACTAGGACCCATCATGCCCACTATCCGAAGCTGGGAGGATTTGAAGCAGGTAAGATGAAAATGTATGGGTTGATTGCTTATTTTTTTTAATCCTTGCGCTTTTCTGACTTTCGTCTTCACCCTGCTGGTGTTGTATTCTTTCTTTAGTTGCACGCCATTGACCCTGATGGTGCCTGCCCATTCGTCGGCGAAGCCTTGCGCACTCTTCGCAAGGAAGTAGACCCCGAAACTGCCGTGTTGGGATTTGTGGGATGCCCCTACACCTTGGCCACTTACTTGGTCGAAGGAAAGACTTCCCGTGATTACATGGAAATCAAGAAAATGGCATGGACCGAACCTGATTTGTTGCATGCCATGCTCAAGCAATTGGCCGATAACTTGGGTGACTACGCCTGCTACCAAATCGAAAACGGTGCCCAATTGATCCAAATCTTTGATTCCTGGGCTGGCCACTTGTCCCCTCGTGATTACGATACCTTTGCTGCACCTTACCAAAAAATGGTCTTGGACAAGATCAAGGCCACGCACCCCGAAATTCCCACAGTGATCTACATCAAGCATTCGGGTGCTCTGATTGAACGCATGGCTTCGACTGGTGTTGATGTTGTGTCGTTGGATTGGACTGTGGATATGGCCGAAGGAAGACAACGAGTTGCGAATGGACGCAAGGCAGCGGGCCTCGATGGTCCTGGAGGAGTGCAAGGAAACTTGGATCCTGGTATTTTGTATGGAAGCCATGAAACCATCAAGGAACGAGCCGAAGAAATCCTGAAAAAGGCCGGAGACACTGGACACGTCATGAACTTGGGACATGGTATTGAAGCCACCACTCCTGAAGAGAACGCCAAGTTCTTCGTTGACACCGTCAAGAGCTACCGTCACGAGGCATAAGAAAGCAAAATGAATAACAATGTCTATAGAAAAGCACACAATTTGGGAGCCTAGATTCGTAGAAGCTGAAAGACCAGAAAAGGTAACGGCCATATCGATCTCTCGGGAAGGATGACATGGGAGCTCTGGCCTAGATACTGGTATGGTACGATAGCCTTCCTGAGATAATGGGAATAATCATTCAATAATGGGAATAATCATTCAATAAAGCTATTTCGCAGCTTTCCCGGCTTCTTTTGAGATCTTTCTTCCATCGCCCATTTTCCCTTGAGAAAAGGACACCGGAGGTGTAATAGATATACCTGGTACCGGGCGAGCTGAATTAAAAGATGGGCCGGCATAGTAATATTGTTGAAGTTTGGCTGAAGGTAGTATCATTAGATTTTCCGTCTGAGAAAGTGACGTGGTAGCTTACGGGAGTTCAGAGGTGTGTGCAACATGCGACGTAAGATTTTTCCGTCTGAGAAAGAGGCGTGGTAGCTTACGGGAGTTCAGAGGTGTGCAACGTGAGACGTTACATTTTTCCGTCTGAGAAAGAGGCGTGGTAGCTTACGGGAGTTTAGAGGTGTGCAACGTGAGGCGTTAGATTTTTCAACCTGAGAAAGAGGGTAGCTTACGGGAGTTTAGAGGTGTGCAACATGAGACGTTAGATTTTTCTGTAGATTTTTCGGTCTGAGAAAGTGGCGTGGTAGCTTACAGGAGTTTAGATGTGTGCAACGTGAGACGTTAGATTTTTCCATCTGGGAAAGAGGCGTGGTAGCTTACAGGAGTTTAGAGGTGTGCAATGTGAGACGTTAGATTTTTCTGCTCGAGAAAGAGGCGTGGTAGCTTACGGGAGTTTAGAGGTGTGCAACGTGAGGAAAATATTCAGGATCCGTTGCTATGACTAAGAGAATGTGTAAGAAATTTGGGGGCCCAAGCTTAAGAGGGGGCTAATGTTTTTAGAAAACTCTAACCCTAAGGATAAACAACCAACCAAAACCAAACCACCACCACAATAAATGGGGTCAGAGATCACCGGGGTCTGCCCGGTATATTAAACCGGGTCAGAGATCACGGGGGTCTGCCCGGTATATACCGAGTCAGAGATCACCGGGGTCTGCCCAGTATTTTAAGTGCCATCTTTCAAAGAACACAAAGAGCTCGAGCTCTGTCCCCATCCTCATCTTAGCTCTCTCTAATCCATAGTAACTCCCACTTCCATAGTTAAGAACACAAAGAGAGGAGGGAAGAGGAAGAGCTGAAGGGCTAGTTAAAATAGTGCCCTTCTTCGCTTTTGGCCGGCGTGTAGAGTGTTGAAAGTACAAGGAATGCACCCAGCCAAGCCCAGAACAACAGGTATGGGTGGTCAAGGCAGAGCAAAAGCCCTTGGGATGGCAATCCTTGCTTTTGCAATTGTGTGCGCTGTGCTCGCCACCAAACCCATGCCGATTGTAACTGCAGAAAGCTTCACCGAACAACGAAGCGGCGATAGCAAGGCAGAATTCGACCTATCGCCAGTCGAAAAGGAAGAAACGTCTTCCGTACAAAGGCGAGAGATCGGCGGGGTTTCAGTTTTGATGGAGCGACCAGCGAACCCCAAAGGAATCCTCTTTGTTGCTCATGGTTGTCACCACAATGCAGAAGATTGGTGGCCTTCCACACCTGACGTTTGTCCTGAATGCATTGGTCTTCCAGAGGAACTCGCCATTGTGAAAATGGCCTTAGAATTTGAATTGGCCGTTGTCGCTGTTTCCAGCGACGATCGTGTGTCCAAATGCTGGTCTGGTACCGATGGCCCCATTGTGGCGAAAGTACTCACGGCACTCGAAGAAGAAATCTTGGAAACAGATCAAGAATCTAAAGTCCCTATACTGGCGTTTGGGGCTTCTTCAGGAGGTGGTTTTGTAGGACGAAAACTGATCAAAAGCATGCGCAAACTGGGGCGCGATCTCGATGGTTTTATTGCACAGATTGCTGCACCAGACAGCCGTTCGGAGCTTCCCAAGGAGAGGGGGGAACACCCATTTCCGATCGCAACCTTCATCACCATGAATCGAGATGTGGGCAGTGACGAGCATGTCCGAGAAATTGTGGAAGGCCTGCAGCAGGAGGGGCACCCCGCTAAGCATACACGGCTACCTCCTCTCGCTCTTTCTCACACCTTTTTCCAAGACCGAATTCCTCACTACACATTGGAGCAATCTAAGACCATGACTCAAGCGTTGCGGAAATCCAACTTTTTGGACGAATCAACGTTTGAGTTAAACAAAGACCCAAGACGCTCAACATGGCGAGACGTCCTCAAAGAACACGTTGCCTGTCCACCCGATTGTTTGGTGGCTGATCAGTCTCCAGTTTCGGAAGTGATGAATGTAGCGTGGGGGGCACATGAAATGGCTCGTGATGGCGTGAGGGAATCTATTGCTTTCATTCTGAGGGAGCATGCTCAGCAAGGCACTACACAAGGATCCAGCTCTTTTGGCGGCCTTACGCTACAGTCTGCGAACAACGCTGGATAAGAATGCCGCTAAAACGAAGGAGCAGAACTGCAACATCAAAAGCAGAGTCGACGAATCAATGGTTCGCTTTCGCTTTACAGTGCAGAGAACCCAACCTGATCGAAAGTCGAAAGGCAGCACTTTTTTGTTTCGGCAACACATAGCTAGCATAATCATCATTCTCAGCTTCCAGCGATAAGATTCTAATAGTTGTTTAGCCCTTCATAATCACTGCCCTCTTCCATCCGCGGTCTGGGAATGAATTGGTTTCAGGTGTTCTTGCCCACCCCAAGATGCATGGATAAACTTCAAAGAAAGTAAGAGGAGGCAAGCTGACAGGGACGACGCCTGCAATGAACCTCTTCAATCCGTGGTCTGGGAATTGGTTTCGGGCGTTCTTGTTCTTCCCCAACCCAAGATGAATGGAAAATACATCAAGGAAAATAACAGGATGCAAGCGACAGCTACGACGCCAGCAATGAAATTGAGAACAAACATACTGCAGGCAATGAGAACTGCAGCATAATAGATACTTTGCAGCATGATCGCGTCGTGACCAGGACGGTTTCGGATACGCTGCCGTGGTTGCTGTATAGAAAAGCGAGTTTGCACAACAGTTGTTTGTTGATGAGACGGAGGCACATAGGGCGAGGGTGAAGATATGTCTCTCTTCCAAGCGTTGATTTCTTCACAGTCATCTGAAATCAAACCTTGCTCTGTCTGTTGTTCAATCTCTTGTATAAGGACAGTGAACAAAGTTGTATTGTCGTATAATTGTTCAACTCTCAACGAATTTCGTGTTATGGGTGAAGCACCATGTTGCTGTATCCATCCTATGATTGAATATCTCTCATATGTGTTTCCTTCTGGATCAATCACTGGGTCTCTTATCAAATCCTGGGTGATGGGGCACAGAAACACACCTCGTTCATTGGTGCTTGGCTGTACTTCTTGCTGTGGATCTGTGTCCAGGCTGAGATATTCCATCAGGGCACGATTTGGATAGTAGTCATAGGCAGAATCGCCATCTCTTTCTTGCACTGATTCTTTCTCATAAGAAACTCCATCTTTCGGATGAACCACAGCGCACTTGAAGGGCTTCTTGGTAATAGGACAACAAACTGTTTCCTTAATGGATTTTGTGACTGCTTTCGGGGGCTCGTTTTCAGCTTCGATTTGTCCCCCAACGTTCCCGGATTCGATGTCCCCATCGTCAAGCGTTGTGTCCTCCATTGTCTCGGTCGCAGTCTCTCCGTCCTTGGGGGTTGATCCCATGGTTCGCTCTATGCTTGTAGTCGTCATCGTTGCTATTAGCGGTGTTGCGGTGTTGTGTTGTGTTGTGTTGTGTTTCCTCGGGACCCAGCCTTCTATTCTTCTTTCGCGATTAGAATTGACTCGAAAGCAACGACTTGACTTTTAACTTGTGTCCGGAAACCTTTTCTTGAGTCGTGAAAAGGCAGTTTCAATATAACCTTTTACGTTTTCAACTACGAGTACACTTTAGTTTACTAGCTAGACTAGCGTATTTAATTGCTCGTTTCAGAATTTGTAAAAATCTCTAACACAAACCAAAACGTTTTATTTTAAGAAAGGTGGTTTCATTTGAGAAACTATCGGTAGACTATTTTAATAACTCCTGAGAGCGTTTTCGAAGGAACCTGCAGAGCTGCAAGAGCACTTCAACACTCCGGCAATAGCTACAGCCTGGAGCGTGCCTCAATCCTGCTTTTGGGTACGGACTCATTGAAAGGTACCGGCAATGAAAATTTCAAATTGACCCTAGCTAGCCATTATTTCTTTCTATTATCTGTTTGAGATGAGTGTTAAACCTATAGTTGCCATTTGAAAGTAGAGCATTAATAGAAAATACGGACCATATACCCACAAGTGAAGGTTTTGGCGAGCTTAATGCAAACATTTAACGAAATGACCAATTTACTTAAGTGACATGACTGAAAGAATGGGTATACACGACTGAACTGGTGCAGGTTTCAAAATCAAAAATCGCTCCAAAATGCCGTGTTGACAATTGGGGAGTGCTTGTTCTCCACAGGAAAGTGACAAAATCGCCAAACAAATGTTACAGCCCCATGCAGAACAACAAGGGGAATGAGGCCGTAGCATTTGTTTTTATGTTTTTACATCTTCTGGTCAATTTATTCCACTCCCCAATTACATTACCACACTCTTTCAATGCGTCGGTAGGATTTAACGGATAGAGTTTGAAACTCTACCCTATAGGAGAGAGTTTTGAAACTCTACCTTAATTCTTTGGTAGAGTTTGAAAGCTGTACCCTATAGGATAGAGTTTGAAACTCTCTCCTAGTAATTAGGGTTGAGTTTCTTCCCAAATATCCATCCTTGGCTGACGGAAGTAACCACCACATTCTTCGCTGACAATTACCGTGCAAGTTACGCATTGGATCAGAGAAGTGACACCTGGAATGCGATGAGATTATGCCATATGAGCCATAGTATGGGTGCAGCACAGCTGTGCTGGCTCAGTCTGATGGAAACATCGCTGCTGCATCTGTACACTCTTTCAGTACAAAGAGCAGTGTCACCATCAGACAAGATAGGAACAGCTGTAGAGGACATAACGTTCCACGACAAGGAAGGATGATTCAGTTCCTCAGCCATGACCTATCTAGAAAGATAGCTTGGTCTATACCAGCCAAAAGAGATGCATGGATCTGTATCCTGCATGGCTGGATGGAAAAAGTCGCAAAATCAGAGTTTGTGTTTATGTTATAGATTAATTTAAAAAAAAGTAATGAAGAAATAGTTGACCTGAGAAACAGACCCTACAGCACAAGTAGAGCTTTGCAGTAGACCGGATTCTGTATGGCCAGTGCCATGGTAATGAGCAATTCGACTGTTCAATCATTGCTTCCACAGTGATTGAATAGCATTGGCTGCCAGCCTTGGGCTGGCCTTTCCAGTGCCAGTGGAAGGAGATCTCCACCAAACAGAGTTCTCCATCCCAGCTCTTGTGCATCTACAGCTGAGTTCCTCTGGAATTCATAGGAATGAATTCCTGAAATAGGAAGAGCCTAGGCAATAAATTCTTGTCCTGATGCACGCAGATGATTTCCCCCTAATGTCTAAAAACCTATCGCAATACAAGGAAGAGATCAGAAGGATCGCAACAATGGCAGAGAACCGCATGCGAAACGACTTTGGCTTCCAAGACAAGACCATCACACACACCAAATTGGAAAGTGCAATACACGGCTCTTAGCCTTATTCGCGACTCAATCCTAGATAGGGTTTGAGTTCAACTTGTGACGTAGTCCCTCACGAATAGTCATTGAGACAGGGTTCTCATGACTGCTAGTCATACTAGGTTGTCGATGAAACATGGCTCTAGATATTTAGCCTGTGTGGAAAGCTTCCACGCTACTAGACAGCTACTAGCTGAAGTTTCCACGTATTTCGGAATTGGACCGTGGAGTATGTAGAGTTATTACCATAACCTACGATATCACACTTCGAGGCCTCCCACGGGAGACCAACTTCAATGAGCTTCACAACGATCTCTCTTATGGATTAGTTTCCGTAGCTTTCTAATCTCTCTCATAACTTTCATTCTCTCAAACTCAAAACACTCGAAAGATCTTTACACTAGCTTTTAGCGTAGTGCAAAAGACAACTAAAACTTCCAAAATTCCGGGAAATTGAGAAGAATGGAAAACTACCAGAGAATAGTCCAGATGACTGGCGGAGGTTCTTCTAAAATAATTAAAGCATCACGTGACTAACTCAACCCTAGCTCATTAACAGATATATCTAAAATGAGCATTAGGATGGCAACCCGGTGAGTGTATGCTTAGTTGTTCCCTGTTAACACACAACAATCAACCAATTCCACTCCATGTTCTGACATCACAGCATCCCACAATCGCATTCACAACAAGAAACGAAAGTATCATGACAATTAACCGTGTGAAGCCAGCACAAATAAGAGATAACAGCTTAGATCCACACATAATATAGAGGGGGACCGAGGTGAGTTCAACCATTATTGCCTCACCTCGGTTACTAGTTTCACACAGCAAAACGGCCAGTTTCACGCAAGGTTTTACTCGTGAATACTACGGACAGAAAAATAGTTTCACGCACGACTGACCATAGTTGCACACCTTCCTTGCGTGAAACTATGTCTAGTTTCACGTGGTCATGTGAAACTGCGTGAAACACTGCGTGAAACTAGCGAAACTGCGTGAAACACTGCGTGAAACTAACCACATGTGCGTGCAACTAGCGGTTAGTTTCACTCAGACTTGGTGATTCGAGTCCCATTTCCGCACCTCCGAGAGCATAAAGTAGGAGCAAGTGTGCGTCTAGAGGAATGTACCGCGGATCCGCCGCACCTCTGCAGCCTCCTCTTACCTCATTCTTCTTCCAACAGCACAATGACGAGCAATGATAATGGTCACCTACAGATGGTTACTAGAGCTACACAAGTGCATTGCTCATGTTTTCACTTTTGAGTACCGTAGATCAACTATACCGCTGCGGTCGCACTGGTGCTGTCCGTTCAGAAGTGGCTTTAGCCGAACAGCCTCGGTTTTCAATAGTAGTCGTAGTAGACTCGACTCCGTCCACTACAAGATCCCAACCACTGCACATGCCACAAAGGCACCTATCCAAGAAGCATCAACAGCCATGTGAAAACAATTAAACGGTTGAGCACGGCACGGTATGGTAGAAATGGCTGCTTGGCCGCAACCAGTACATGTATCGAACCACGTCGTTCCTCCGTTGCACTGATGGAAACGTCTTAGTGGACTCCCCTGTCCACTACAAGACACCAACCACTCTGCCACAAACGCAAGTATCCAAGAAGCATCGGCATCACTGTGATTTCCCTGAAGAAACTTTTGGATAGCTACTGGGTTCTACTCAGGACTTCATTGCCCACTAGCAAGAACAACACTTGTACTCAAAGAAGTCTGTATAGTTCTCCTTCAATTTCGGCACCCAGACGATCAGAAAGGATGCCACAGGAGGCTCACACTGCCTGGGCGATGGACCGGATGTTTGTGAATTGTATCAAATCACAATGACTTTGAGACCTTGGACATTACATGGAGGCTGTGCTGGCCTGCGTTTCGGTTGGTTTCTGTTTGAGCGCTGGTGGTGATACAAGAGACTCATATCATGAGGGACAGAATAAGTGTGACTTCCTCTGGAGCGCAACGGCCTTGAGAAAACGCAAAAAAGCCCTGCAACAAAAATACGCGGAAGCTATGCCCAAAAATTTTGGAATACTTTGCTGGTTCGAAACTCACACGAGTGGGAACCACAACATGTTTGCAACTTCCTCTGGAGCACCACGGCCTTGAGCAGATCTCCAAGAATTCCACACTGAAGAGATCCAGAACATGCCCCAATCAGAGAACGTCAGAATCAGGCTTGGAAGACCCAGCAAAAACAAAAAAATCCAAAACATGTCCCATTCAGTACGTCAGAGTCAGAGCCAGGCATGGAGCAGCACTCCACCAAAGTGGCCCAGCAGAAATGCAAAACATGTCCCAATCAAAGGATGTCCGAACCAGGCCCGGAGCAGCACTCCACCAAAGTGGCCCAGCAGAAATGCAAACATGTCCCAATTAGAGGATATCAGAACCAGGCCGGGAGCAGCACTCGCAGAAATGCAAATATGTCCCATTAGAGGATCATCCAAGGAGCAGACCACTACAGCAAATCTCCACACTGGGAATGAAAAACTCTGCAGAAACGCCCTTTTTGAGTCCGCAGAAACACTTTTTTCCCTGAAGCAGGCTGGCGTGCACTCTGCAGAAGCCCTCGAACTCTGCAGTTCCGAAAGCCGGCATGGCTTTTTCTGCCGGGAGGTGTTTTTTTTCTGCCGGGAGGGTGTTTGTCTCTGGCAGATGACTTTTTTTCTGCCAAAAGCACCTGAAAACTGCACAGAATGGCTTGCAGAGTCGATTCATTGTTTGGCAGAAGGATTTTCTGGAGCAATTATCGTTTGCAGCTTGACAATTACTTAGAGATGGATACCAGGCAGGCGCGACGAAACTAGCAGCAAATAAATAGCCAGTCTCTTTTTGAAATCTCAAGGCTGCGATGACATCATTGACATTTAATGCCACGGCACACTTTAAACCTAAGCCCTAACGTCTCTCCTGCAAAACGAGAACCCCCATTAACTGTCTTATTAACCCAGACTCTAAAACGAGACCCCATTATGATGTCGAGGAATACATTAACCCACACTCTAAATCAAATTGAATTCGAACCTATTCGATTAAGATCGACTCAGTCCCACCAACACC